TATTGCATTGAATGATCAAATGTTTTCTGAGGTTTTCAAATTCAAATGACCTCCTGTTGTTAGATAATATGGTTTTATATGTCGAAAATGACCGTTCGACATCTACTGATGTAATAGGCGCATATTTAAAGTATACAATATCATCTGGAAATTCACTGAAGTCATCTAAATTACTATCATTTTCACCGTCAAGTATTTTTGATATTTTTTCTAAAATCCTTAAGCCATTATTTTTTTCAAAAACTTTTTGCAGTTTAGTTAGAACTAGTTTTCCACGATTGCCTTTTAACAAAGAAAATTTCTGTTTCACATTTTCAACTACAGCAAGTGAACCAGACAATGAAACATTTTTTGTTTGCAGTTCTATAATGGATTTAGTAAGAACTTCAAAATTACTTTTTATATATGCCAAATCGGCTTCTAAACCCGATTTTACAATGCACAGTTTTGCTTTTTTAATGCTGTCTGCGTCGTTTTCATTTAGACAACTTACTACGTGACGAATTATTCTAAAATGTTCGCAATAGTAAATTGTAGCCTCTATCCAAGAGTCCCAACGGGTAATAACTGGTTCAGGGGGTAGTTTTATACCAGGAGCTTCAGATTTAAAGATTTCAACACGATAAGGTGCTTTTCGAAATATATTTTTAATATTAGATATTAGTTCGTCTACTGTTCCAAATTGTCCACGGATTTCTTCAGCGATTCTATGAAGTCCATGAGCACAACAAGTTACGTGTATCATTTTTGTATAAATATTTTTCAGAACAGTACCTGCCTTCACCATATAGGGAGCGACGTCAGATAAAAATAACAAGACATTATTATACTGTATATCACCAGGCCATATTATTCCCATAGCTTTTTCAAACAGCTTGCAGATAGTTGAATGATTTGTTTAGTTCTTCTGAATGAAGTAAAAACATGCGTCCTGGACAATCGGGTTTTAGAATTCCAACTATAACATTGGCAATAAACCGTCCTTTTACGTCACATGTCTCGTCAATCGACACCCAAATTTTATTTTGCCTTATTTCCATTTTCATTTTATCCATAGTAGTATTAAAAATATCATCAATATAACCCTTCCGTAATGTTGCTTCTGTAGGAATATTTTTACCAGTATATTTCTCTAAAAATACTCGAAATGTATTGTTAGAAAGCTTATTTAACGGAATGTTAGCAGATACCATTGTTTGACATAAATCCTTGTTGAAATCGGATTTTGCTGAACTTTGATTGGTTAGTAGTTGTTGTAATTTTCTCTGTCCTTGATCATTCTGACGTTTGACACTCTTTTGATGTTTATCGGTTTTCATATGTTGGGATATATTATATTTTTTTTCAAAATTAATTTTTATTTCATACATTTTACAATATAAAACATGCCCGTCTGTGGAAAAAATGGTCAGATCCAAATTCAGAAACGTATCTTTTTAGAGCAATGACGTTCAACCATTTTCCTTTAGCGGGCCACTTTGGTAAACAATTATCTTCAAGCGGGCCACTAAGTATAAAAGTACAAAAATAATCTTATATATTGGACTTGTTTTCTTATCTTTTATTGTCTATTGAAAAGATTATGAATTAAGGTACACATTAGTTTGATTAGTATGTTATTTTAAGTACACGGATGATATCGATATTTAATTGTGAAGTTTACATATGAAAATGTCAGACAGAAAAAAACGCAAATATATTGATGATTGCCGAATTTTCAATGGTCTATAAATTACTTTTTCATTGAAATTAATGGAAAGCCGTTTGTCTTGTGTGTCGTGTAAATGTTTCAGTTTTTAAAGAATTTAATATCAAACGACATTATGAATCAAAAAATGTTCTTACATTTTTAAAAAAAATTTTTTATTTTATAAAATTCGTAACGGGCCACATAGAATACCTTTGGGGGCCACATGTGGCCCGCGGGCCGCGGGTTGAGCACCACTGTTTTAGAGTAACACATGTGGATGATTTTTCTTTTCCCATTCTAAATTAATTTAAATACTCGGATACAAACGATGACGAAAAAAACAAACAAGACGATGAATGTTGAAGATTCGCACACATACGATGACGAAATAAATACGGAAACGAAAGCAACACGACGAACGCGAATGACAATCGACTACTAAACTTTTAAATCGAAACATTATTTATTTTGTTTTTATCACACCTATAAAATCACGGTCAAATAATATTATTTACCAAGAAATTAGTGATATACAGATAATTGAGGTATATTAATTTGTTTCCCCGAAATCCAATTCTATTTTAAGCATTGGAATATTTGCAACGACGCGATGCCGCGGACGGCGACGGACTACGCGACAACGTAGATAAGATAAGAATTATTTTTAATTTTAATTCTGTCAAAAACAACTACAGTAGAAAATCATAAAAAAGTATAAAACCTGGTCAAAAAAGCAATAATTATCAGAAAAACTTGAAATAAGCATTTTTTTAAAAATCACTGAAAAAAGCAAAAAAAAGCACTTTCAAATTTCATAATTGAATGTGTTGTAACATGACATACACTTCTATAGCACTCTGCTACATTTTAAGTCAATCTATAAAAATAAGCAAATGCTTTAAGTCCCGAGCCCTGATAATAACAGATTCGTAATCAGTATATTACGGATTTATATGTATTAAAAACCAATCAAATATGCGCTCGAAATTTAGTAGAAGAAAATAATTAATTTTTGAACTATTACTTAAAATAATCTATAAAAGAAATTACATTTAAAATTATGTAACTGTATTATAATTAATTTTTTTTTTTTTTTACTTTTAAAGGAATTTACTAACCAAAATCATTTGTGTTCACTTATAAGAATATTAGAAATCAGTTAATATCAAAAGTATATCCTAAATTACATTTTCTTTCATTTCTTTCTTGCACATTGCATTGTATGACAATTATTTTGGTTATATATTAAAAAATCATTGATTGGCGTTTGTCAGTCAACAAAGTCTAAAAGTATAATAGGTGCGTATTTAAAAAAATATATATCATTTAATTTAGAGATTAATCTTTGCGAGTTCGAATTTATTTACTTTCACCATTTTAATTTTTTTTAAATTTAGTATTTCATAGTCTTCATTTTTCGATATAACACTTTATATAAATAATTAATACTTTTCTACATTTTTTGTAAACGGATTCACTCCCTATATTACAATACCTAGTAAATATTTCAAAAATAACAAAAAAAATTAAAACAAAGAAGCATCGAAATATGGAAATAAAAAAAAATAAGCCTTTAAAATAAAAATAAATGGGTGAATATCGAAATAAGTAAAAATATGCTATAAAAACGTCATAAAACAAATTTTGTGCTAACTTAGCATGTCATAAGACCGACCAGAATAAATATGCAGATGCTTATAAATCTGTGCTCTAGTAATCAGGGATCATAATTCATCAATAATGTGCAAAAAAAATCAAAAATCTGCACTCTAAATTCATCAAATTATAATTGTGCCTACTAAAATCACTTGGTATTATATTTAATTTCAATTTAAATGCATCTCTCTAATATTATTTTTATTTGCAATTACACTCATAAATAATAATCTCTTATACTTTGTCTCATCCCGACCAGTTTTAAAAAATATTAAAAAACATGTTGGCTCCTAAGTGTCTTAACAGTAATTTACGTTTGAACTTTTTTTTCTGCAAATTACTCGAAAATATTTTTCCAACCATGTATGTATTTGTTTCCCTACTATGTATTAAAATGGAGTAAATGGTATCGAAAAAAAGTGTATATATATATATATATATATATTGTATCTCGTGTAGATAATTTTATATATTCGTGTTATTAATTACTATTATATTGTAAAATGTTCTGTCTATACCAGTGGTTCCCAAACTTTTTTGGGTCACACATACCCGAAACAAAAAAAAAAATTATTACGCCTCTCAATAAAATATTTTTTATTAAATAAATAGAACTAAATTATTTTTCGCAAAATAAATATATGCTAGTGCAATATACAATATAAATATTTGCCTTGCGCTTCCCCTAATAAGTGCTTGCGCCTCCCAAGGGAGGCACGCTTCACAGTTTGGTCACTGCTGGTCTATATTGTGCTGCACAAGAAAAGTTTATCTAGTTTTAACAATCCAATTTAAATTTAAAAAAAAAAACTAATTCTTTGTTTTGTTTTGTTCAATTTTATTTATAATCTAAAATTATAATATTGTATTATATAACATTTATTTTTATAATTTGAACTGTTTAGAACTTTTAATTTTTTAATTTAAATTTTTCACCGCATTACATTTACTCTAATAACATATATTAGGCGCATACATAAAAAAAAACTTTGGGAGGGTCTTAGGTTGTATTTTTTCATACAAGTATAATCTATTAACGACTTTAGTCTATAAAAACATATTTAATAATTTTCTTGAATTTTGAGGATGATTGAACCCATAACCCCCCATTTGTATAGCCTGAAATATATATATTTATAAATCAGTATAGACTCTATACTATAGAGGTTGGCTGAGCATATTTCCCTAGTGCAGTGGTTCTTAACCGGTGTTCCGCGGAACACAGGTGTTCCGTGGAATTCGTATAAGTGTTCCGCCAAAATTTTAAAATCAGTGAAAAAAAAATTTCTTCAAAAATAGAATCATTTTAGGTTTTGTTGGTTTATTTTTGTACACAAAAACGTTATCGTTAACTTTCGAATAATATAATGTGTTAGTATACTACTATACTATATAATATATTAATATACATTATTATTATTATATTATACGATAATCTCCACCATACTGCGATAACATACGTATAGATATTGACAATTTTATTTTCTGCACTAATAAAAGTTATAAAATACATTAGTATCAGTACGTTGCCCACGGTTATCAACGTTAGACGCGTGTACAACTTCATAAATAAGATTTCTGGTATTTTTTTAAGTAAGTACAATTTGAAATTTATTTAGTTAATTTAATTTGTAACGACCATTTTAATAACAAAATGGACAAATTTCTTAAACGGAAACATGATTCTGGTACTGATAGTGCAAGTAAAAATACAAGCAATGTCAATGATGATACTTTCAATGATGAGAATAAAATAAAAAAGGTCAATAGACAATATTGCAACGATTATTTAAATTTTGGGTTCACTTATGTTGACGAAAATGATTGTCAAATTCCCCTTTGTGTGGTTTGTGGGGAAAAGTTGTCTAATAGCGCAATGGCGCCAGCGAAATTAAAACGGCATTTATCATCTAAGCACGCCAATCTCCAGTCTAAAGAAAAAAATTATTTTGAAAGGTTGTTGAATAATCAAATGAATCAAAGAAAACATTTTAAAAAAATTGTAACAATATCTGATAAAGCACAAATCGCATCTTATAAAGTTGCCGAAATAATTGCAAAACAGTTAAAACCACACACCATAGCAGAGAGTTTGAATTTACCGGCATGTTCAGAAATAGTTCAAATTATGTTTGGCGATGATGCAAAAAAAGAAATTATGAAAATTCCGCATTCAGACGATACAATAAAAAACAGAATTATACACATGTCAGATGATATTGAGAAAACTGTCACTAACAAGCTTACTACTAATAAACTATATTTCGCTTTGCAAATTGACGAGTCTACTGATATCAGTGGTATAGCTCACGTACTAGGATTTGTTCGTTTCATTGATGAAAATAAAATAGTGAATCAATTTTTATGCTGTAAACAACTTACTGAACGTACAACAGGACAGAATGTTTTTGATTCAATTTCGTCATATTTAGATAAATTTAACATAACATGGGACCAATGTGTAGGAATTTGCACCGATGGAGCTCCTTCAATGGTTGGTTCTATTAAAGGATTTACAACATTAGCGAAGAAAAAAAATCCTAATATCATATCTACACATTGTTTTTTACACCGAGAATCACTTATTTCGAAAACATTACCTATTACATTAAAGTCTGTATTGGATAAAATTGTAAGCATGGTTAACTACATAAAATCGCGTCCATTACAATCACGCCTATTTAAAAAACTGTGTGAATCAATGGAAGCTCAGCACGTATGTTTACTTTTACATTGTGAAGTAAGATGGTTATCGCGAGGTAAAGTTCTAAATCGAATTCTGGAACTTAAGAATGAATTGTTAATGTTTTTTCAAAACGAAGGTAACACTGTTTTTATATCTTTTCTTACAGACGATATTTGGTGTGTTAAAATGGCATATTTAGCTGATATTTTTAATTATTTAAATAGCGTAAATGCTGGTATGCAAGGTAAAAACGAAAATATTCTTACATCCACGGATAAACTATTAACATTTAAAAAAAAATATCTTTTTGGAGAACGCGTATAATTCAAAAAAATACTGTAGACATGTTTCCTTCAATTAAAAATAATAATGAAATAATTCCTATTATAACAGAACATTTAGCATTATTTGAAGAAAAAATCACGAAATACTTTCCTGAATTAAATATTGAAAAGTATGATTGGATACGAAATCCATTTTCTACCATCAACACGTCAAGTTATGAATTACGTTAGAAGAAGAGGAAGAATTCATAACGCTAACAACAGATCGAACTCTAAAAATAAAATTTTCCGAAATAACAGTAGAAGAATTTTGGATTTCAGTTCAAACCAAATTTAAAAAAATTTCTGAAAAAGCAATTTCAGTATTATTACAATTTTCAACCTCATACTTATGTGAGCTTGGATTTTCAACACTGACGAATATCAAAACAAAGAAACGAGAAAGGCTGACAAATATTGAAAAGGAAATGAGAGTAGCAATATCGTACATACGGCCAGATATTGAAAATATCTGTAAAAATCATCAGGCACAAATATCTCATACGAAGTATTCAATTTCAAATTTTTAAATTTTTTTTAACTCTTTTTATTATTTTATTATTTTTTAGTGACTAACACTAACATGTATGACATGCAAACAATTTTATGCTATACATTCATTGTTTAATAAATTAAAAAATTAAAAATGTATGTACTACTATTTTATTTTACGGTTGTGTTCCGCGAAAATCTTGTAAAATGTTAAGTGTTCCGTCATTCGAAAAAGGTTAAGAACCACTGCCCGAGTGGAAAAATCTTCAATTTCAATTTCGAATTTGTATTTTCATTTTTAACAAGCTTTGAAAAATATCTCTTGCATTTTTTTACTATAGAGTTACAAAATAGTTATTTTATGAAACAAGTTAAAAAAATTCCAAAGAATAGAAATTGAAAATGTAATAATTTATTTCATATTTAAAATTAAAGTTAGTTTTGAAATGAGGAACGTGTGTGTCGTAAATGGTTAGGTATTATGCCTATTCAAATAAATTACTAGAAATTAAATAATTTTTATCTCTTCCAGATAACATCGAAGAGTTTGTTTATTTTACATATATTTGTGGATTTAGTATAATCGTCTATCGAAGTGACGAATGAATGCTGGCTTAGATTTTATGTTTATGTTGTTGATAAGGTCATCTAGTTTATACGATTACAATTGTCATTATTTTTAACCATATTCACTTTCATTTCAAAAATTACATTAGTTAGAATATTGAAACTAATTTTTGAATTTTCAATAAAATTGCAATACTTAAAATTTTTTTTTTCTGCTCGTTATATATAATTACTATTTTGCAAATTCATAGAAATGAAAAATTCAATAGTAATTTTTTTAAGCCAATTCAGCGAGTATACAGCTCACAACAAATGCGTGTGAATCATTTCACTCGTATTTCAATAATAATTTTTATTTCATTTCTCCGTCAATATTAAGCTGGTTAAATATTATACGCAATGGCATCCAGACAGAAACTTATATCAAAATTAATAGTGTTGAAATTCCTAAAAAACCTCAAGATAAAAAAACGAAGGAAAAACAGGAATATAATGAAAAACGTATACTTTTATATAGATCTGGCGAAATTACGAGGTATGAGTTTATAAAAAACATGTGTAGAAATTTTAAAAAATGATAATTTTTGTAAAATGTATTTTTTTATGACAGTGAATTTTAGTAAAAAATAATATAGTGTAAATTATAAATTGTTTAATGTTTTTTTTGTACTATAACTGTAATAATGTATAATTAAATTTAAATATGTATTTTATAAAAAATTTTCCTATGACTTTTTTTAAAAATAGTTAAAACAATAATAATAATAAAAATTAATAATAGTATATGTATTATATTTAGTGATGGGTCGAAATTCGAACTCGGCATGAAAAAAAATTGAACCGAACTATCAAGCATCTTTTATTGTTCGAAAATCGAACTTGAAAATATTTGTCGAACCAGACTTACTGGTCATGATGTTCGAAAACCAAATATTTGTACAATTCTTCAAAAGTTATTTTTGAAAAATAAAAATTGATGATTATTTAGAAATAATTATACTATTGGCGATAGAAAGTGATAATCTGTATAGGGCACGTTATGCATTATTTATAATAATAATGCTATTATTATAATAATAATGTTATTTTTCAGTCGCATGTTACACATCCACCCTCCGCCGGCCAAAACATTAATAAGTTGTTTATCGCCAATAGAGGCAGTATATCTACATTCATAGATTAGCTATTTTTGTTTTTATCATATTTATTATAGAGGTTAAAATCTGTTTTGGGTAAATCCATGGTAATATTCCGATACCGCGACTGTGCTGTTAATAAAAACATGTTTACAACTTACGTCTTACATTATAAATTCTATTAATCATTCTATACTTGTGAATTATAGTTATTATTACTATTTTTTTTTATATATTATTAAAATATACTGATTGTATGGTCATATTAAACTCAATACTCAATGAATATTTTATAAGCTACAAGACAACACGAGAGAGCACAATACTGATTTTGAAAAATAATAATAAGAAATTATCTAAAATTTTAATGTATTATAAATAATACAATTACTTAGACTTAAAAGTTAAAATGTAGAATAGGTAATACGAAAACTTAAAATACAATAGCATATCATTATGGTTCGATTTAATTTATAGGTAGGTACATGATAAAAACTATTGAGATCGAGTTCGAGTTCGATTTGAAATCATAATAGGTTCGGTTCGGTAGGAAATATGAAGGTTTGGTTCAGTTCGAGTTCGAAAAAATAATTTAAAGTTCGGTTCAAGTTCGGTTCGATTAAAAATCAGGGTTCGACTCATCACTAATTATATTATTTAAAAACCATTGCCAACTTAATTTGAAAACGACTAAAATGGCTTTGGTCGAAATGGGTATCTGGGTGAAACGGGAAAGGTTCATTTTGGGCGAAACGAGATGCGCCTATTTTATTTTGTAGATATTTTTTTCCTTGTCTTGTAATATTCAAAAATTATTAATTTACTTTTTTTTTAAACGTTTATTATTAATCATACACTTTTTTATTTTCCTTGTTTATTATGTTTATTTATTCTTAAATATTTTTAGAAATTTTATTACTATGAATAAGCTACCTAAAGGCTTTTCATTAATATTAAGTAGGTATAGAAACATTTATATTATAATTTTGTTTAATATTTTTTTTAAGTGTTCAGTTTTGGAATTGATTTATATTTTTAGTTTGTTAATATTTTTATTTTTATTTGCATTTAGATTTTGATTAAATAATATTTTTATATTTTTTCCTTAAAAGTGTCCTATAGTTATTGATAGTAAAATAGTTTAATAATATCTTAGAGTTTATCTAATAGTAATTACATTTTTTACTGTGAATTGAATAATCATAATTTATTCTGAATACTATGTAGTGTCATTTTTTAAAAAATGTACTCCATAAAGTGTTTAATTTATCCATTATTTCGAATGTAATAATAATTATATACTGATGTGTCGTGTTTTCTACAATCGAATTTTCGATTATTTTTTACTACAGCTTGGCATATTATAAGTTATCGAGTTATAATATATTTTTAAATTTTAAATGCATGACAATGGATTGCGAAAAATATATAAAAAAATGACACAATTATTGTTGCCTGTTGGCTTTACATAATTGCTTACATGTAACAGATTATCACTCACATACAATGCCATTAATATTTTTTACTTTTAATTTTTATGTTTGACTGCTTATTGTGTAAACACTTGTGCTCATTAATTATGGTTAATTAATTTTTATAACTAAATAGTATTGAATGAATTTAATATTTCTGCTACTATACACCATTGTTATACCACTGACAAAATAGTCAAATTATTTTCATATATCTTTGTAGGAGTGACCGGTTTAGAAATATTTTATTATTATGAAGTGTTAAGTATAGTTGAACTAGTTTATAAGTTATCTTATAATGAAATTATTTTACTTTTTATATACAAGTAAGTTATGTATATCTATTGTGGTTTCTTTGATTAATATTTTTTTTAATGATATATTTAAATGTTATGAAATTAATTATTGGATACTATATAGTACTTGTTCTAGATAATAGAATTTGAATTTTTGATATTAAAAACTTGAATTTAAATTAGTGATTATAAAATAAAAATATTTGATGAATACTTAATAGTATCTAGGGGCAGAGTGGCTTGTCAGTGCCCGGTGGTCTGGCTTGCATTTTCAAGAAGAGTGGTGTATTGAAAATAATTATTATTTTGTTATTTTTAATTGAACATAATTTGTGATATTATTGTGTACAGAAATGGCAAATCCATGTACGCTAAAAATTTAGTTATAATATTTAATATTCTACTATATTTATTTTATACCAAAAAAATAATATAAATCCAAGTTTTAGTTTTGAATAAAATGTTTGATTTTATACCTAAAATAAATATCTTTTGAATTGCTAATTAGTAATAATCGGAAGCAATGTATACTTTCCACTTCTTTTAAAAGTCTGATATTTGCTGCCAAACATTTTCTCTTACGAGTTAGGTTTTAAAATGTCGAACAAAAAAATGAATGATTTATCGTGGCAGAGGCACAAACTAGTTGGAATTATTGAGAAGGCCTTCAAAGTCTTAAACTTCAAGACATTGAACGTTGATATCTTGAACCAGTATTTGCAAAAACGGCAAAATCTTGAATAAATTAATCCGTCATAATCTGGAATATGTAAATCGTTGAAAGACAATATTTTAAACGGAAAATTCTTGAATAAATTAATCCGTCAAATTTTTGAATATGTAAACCGTTAAAAGGCAATATTTTGAACGGCAAAATCTTAGAAGTAAAAACTTAGATTAGTTATAGACATGAGTAGGGCTAGGAAAATTAAGCACTAACAATAAAGGAATTAAAAAATTGCCATTAATGCTACAAAAAAAAAAGCATTTTAACCAGGAAAATTACCTAAATATTACCTAAATAAACCTAAAAAAGACTTGAACATTTTTAAGTTTAGTTGAAAAAAATTTTAATATTAAAACATAATTTATTAAACATATTTTTATATGTTCACAACAATTCATTTTTAGAATAACTAAGCACAATTTATAAATGTTGAAAAAAAATAAATTAAAAAAATGTTTTATTAAATTTTAAGTACCTGTTTATTATATAAGTATTCAATAAGACAATAAGATATTTTAATTTTCTTTAAATTTTATAATATTTTGAAAACAATTTTATATTCGACACCATCTTTCTAAAACAAATTTTTTTAATTAAAAAAATGATTATAAAAAACTTAAAATTTTTAATATTATTTAATGTTAATAAACACATACTATTCAATTGAATTTCTATTGTTGCATTATATTATAAAGGACTCTTTAAAATTTTCAAATATAAATGATCTGCGATTATCAGTGAGCAAAGTTTTGTATGAAGAAAATTATCTCTCTACGTCCACGGGTGTTATCGAAACAAATCTCAAATACGTCATATCATCGAGATTTAAATCTTCTGGCAGTTCCAATTTTGAAACTTCTTCGCCGTTCAAAATTTTTAAGACCGTACATATTGACTTAAATCGAATATTTTTTTCTAAAACTGTCTTCATCATATGCGGCCTTACCAATTTTGTTATGCGTTTTATCAATTGTATTTTGCACATTCAATACAATTTTAATTGACTCGGGCAGAGGACAACTGGTTTTTTCAAGACACAAAATAGCACTTGTTAATACACTAAAATTTGATTTAATATATGTTAAATTACATTCCAGATTAGAATCTTTTATCAAATCATGAACTTTTTTTTATTGAAATACCATCATCTTCGTCCAATTCCATAATGACACGTTTAATTAAAGAAAAATGTTCACAATAATAAATCGCAGTATTGATCCATGTTGCCCACATTGTGAGTATGGGTTCTGGAGGTAAAGGAATATTTGGTGCAATACTTCGAAAAATTTGTACTCTAGATGGAGCTTTTAAAAATTTTTTTTTCATATTTGAAATCTGCTTGTCAACTTTTGGAAACTGTAATCTAATTTCCTTGCATACTCGATGCAATGCGTGAGCTACACAAGTAATGTGTTCCATTTTAGGATTAAATATTTTAATAGTTTTACCAGCTTTTACCATATACGGTGCGGCATCCGATAAAAATAACAAAATATTCTCATGCCTAATCGCTTTAGGCCATACATTTAAAAGCGACATATCAAATAATCGACTTATTGTCGCGTAGTTAACTTTATCTAACACTTCCGAATTTAAAAGAAATATCAATTTCTAAGGTGCCTATTACGTTTACCACATAACGATCAGCTATATTTATCGTCTCGTCGATCGATACCCATATTTTCTTTTTAGATGCATATGTTCTTATATTATTAATTGTTTCTGTGTAGCATTCTATAACATATTTCTTACGCAATGTTGATTGTTCTGGTATAATTTTATTTGTATACTTCTCAAGAAATTTTCGAATTGATGGTTGAGATAGTTTATAAAGTGGTATATTTGAACATAATAGGGCCTTGCATAAATCGTAATTAAATGTTAATGCTGTCGATAGGCCGTTTAATGAAGTCTGAGTAGTAGATAATTTTTGTTGATTTCTTTTTTCTATACCATTATGTTTATCATGTACAACATGTTGGGAAACATTAACCTGTTGACTGCCACGGGTGTTTTTCGTACTTTATCAAAACCGTCGAGTACAAAAAATTGTACACACTTAAATGTGCCATTTAGTTTTTGAGTACAAAATATTGTACTCACACTGTGTTTTACTCCGACGCCTCGTGTATAGAAATGTGAACACATAAGCGTTATATAGTATAGGGAAATTGATTATATGGCCTCCTGGACTGGTTTTTTTTAAGTAGCGAAAAAATATCACAATTTTTTAAAACCTTATAATATATTTAATTTTAATTTAATTTTTACTGTGTTTTTTAACATTTTATATACTTTTTTTTTTTTTTTAACAAATACTACATAAAAAGGCTCCTTGCTCATTTCAAACTTTAAAAAGTACACTAAATTGAGTTATAGAAAAAAAAAATTACTTTTACATTTACTTAAATTTTATATTTCTTTAAAATTTTATTCTTATTTTCTTGTTTTGTGAGTCTTGAAGAAACATTCCGGACATAAATGTTGATCACACTGATTACATCTTGTTTTGATTCTTTTTGTTTTTTTTTTTTTGTGCAATTAGTCTTCCTGAAAATGTTTTATTTATTAATTGTTTTATTCAAATGTATGAAATTTTAAATATTTAAATAAATAGTAAGTAGTTTACCTTCTTTTTTCACCAGTAATCTGTAACATGATTTGCACCTTGATGTTTTCGGAGATTTTTCCAATGTATGATCTAGTGTTGGTAGTGGCTGTATTAATTTAGATTGTTGTGTGTCTTCATTATCGTTTCGTAAAAGCTCTTCAAAAATTGCTTCTCGAAATTTCATAATTTTCATTTTTTGGCCACTTACACCAATGAACAAGTAAGGGCATTTAGTACAGATATGTTACAGATCAAGTCTATAATTATTTTTCTGTACCACTTTAGCGATTTTCGTAAAGCTGAATGATATGACTGTAGCTGATCAGTAAGATCTATATATCCCTTTCCAGTATTATAATCGACAACTACTTCTGGTTTTTGTTTAACTGTTTTTCTACTTCTATCAACGCTTATAATTTTATTTGTTTGTTTAGTACTTATCATAAGTACTTCACGTCTATCCTTCCATTTTAGCACAGTTACTCCTTTATTATTGATCTTTGCAACAGTTTCTCCTTTTGAAATTTTTTTCTTAGTAATGCCTGTTGGATTTCGTTTCCTATTTGCTCTAAGTGTTTCAACGAGAGTATTTCTGCATAATAATTTTTCCGCCAAATCAACGCTATTGTACCAGTTGTCTGCAAATAAAACTCTTCCACTATCCAAGTATGGTTCCATCAAATCAATCACAACTTTTGAAGAAACTGATTGCCCTGGTGTAGCTTCTTTCCCTGCATATACTTTTTATTGAGTTGTGTAAAAATCGCGTGTACATAATTTAAAAATTTTTATTCCATATCGATGTCTTTTATTTGAAATAAATTGATGAAATTTAAGTCGTCCTTTAAATGGCACAATAGACTCATCAATACAAACATTTTGTTCAGGAATTAATGCACTGTTGTATTTATGAACCAATAGATCTATTAGAGGTTGAATTTTGTACAACCGATCATCAGGACGAGCTTTGCTGTTATCCGAAACATGGAACATACTCAAAAGTAATTCGAAACGATTATGAGACATATATGAAGAAATATAACTATTGTACAGTTTATTAGTACTCTAATAATTAGAAATACAAGGCATTTCAACTAACCCCGTTCACACAATAATACCAAAAAGTTTTTTTATATCTGTTTTATCAACATCCTTCCATTTTCTTAATCTAGCGTTTCGACTTAAACCTGGTTCACTGAATTTATCATTTGCGTATTTGTTAGTTTCAACTACAAGTAAGTTAATAATTTCTTCGTCGAAAAACAAGGGAAAAAATGTGAATGGGCTAGCTAAAGGCAATGTCTCTATAAGATCAGGGTTAACTCCAACTGGTAAATTATGAGGATTGAAAGTTACATGCGCATTGGTATGCGGCTCATAAAAATGTTCTGTCCAATTATTACCTGTCATACCATCGTCACTTTCATTGTCAGAAGAATTATTATTATTTTCATAAATATTTTGATTTCCGTCTTCTTTGTCATCAACCCAATCGGGGTCAAATACGTCATCATCAAATTCGCAAAGTGACGAATCTGAATCGACATCACTCTCATACAATAAACTCATAATTTCATTACGATTCATTTTAATTGTTGTAATCAAATAACACGCGTACCGTTCAACGTTTACGTTAATATTCTCGATACTGTCTGATGTGTCATATAAAATATAGTAGTATGTTGGTTGTTGATGAATTATAAATAACAGAAAAATAATAAACTACATATTGTAAACTATAAATAATATGAATATTATACATATTATGCTGTATTATTATATATACTACAATTCTATTGGATGGTTTGTTATTGTTAGATAAAATTGGATAATTAAAATCTATTAATAAATAGCTTACAACAATATTACTTATCAAAAGGCAATTTCCAAGAAAAGAATAACCATAAAATTGCTAAAACTAAACGAAAACGAAATCCAAATACACTGTTTAAATTAAGAAATTCAACAAAATAACTATAGATTGCCCTTAATACCCATTGAACTATAAGACCATAAATATGTGAATAACATTTGTCGACTACCCGTCAACCGCGGCACTCAACGTGTTATAAGGCAATTTGTTGTGCCTGTGGAGCCACGTATACAAAAAATTGTACACAGTGAAAATCTCAACTAATATTGATAAAAACACGATGCACGAGCATCTTTTAAAAAAAAGTAACTTGTATTGCACGAGCTCGTACCGTTCAGGTTAAAAAATTTGATATTTATCTGGAATCGTTTGGTATTCTCTTTCATTTCCTTAAAACCCCATTTCTTTGCAAGATTCTCTAACTGAAATACCTAGTGGTTAGGTATTATATACTAAGGGGGATTTTTTTGGTTCAAATACTTGATATAGTGGTCGAACATTTTTATGGTTCATAGTATTTTACAAAAAATTTAAAATGTGTACGAAAATAAATTGGTAATAGCTTCTACCATAATGTAGAAGATAAATATGTCTTAAACTTCTCCGAATTGAAAAATTGTTAGCATACATGTACCAATAAGACAATAAATGGTTGAGTATTAAATTTGAAAAAGTGATTTGATATTATTAATTTGCCTGGAAAGAATTTTTGAGCCATTCTGACCCTGATTGTATCTATAATTTTTTGTAAAATAGTTTGAATTTACCATGAGTAAAGTTTTCAAGTTATAAAAATAAACATTAAATTATTATACGAAACTAAATACAAAAGCTTGCTGGACAGATTAAATCATTATTTACAACAATTTTCAAATTTTTTTTGATATCGAAAATAATACTAAGAAAATCGTTAAATGACCTGCTCAAAGTATCAACTTTATCAGACTTTCGATCAACAAAATGTCGGCAAGAAATTTTTGGTGCTTGTTTATAATTTGATAATTTGCTCACAGAAAAATATAATATAAATCATATAATTTTAAAACTAATATATTTTATGTTTTCATATATATTCATAATTGCTTACTTCGCAAGAAATCAAAAAATTAATAAAAATAATAGGTACTGATTACAAAAAAATCTCGGTACTGTAATTATAATTATGACTAATCAATATCAGTTGTGTGAATTTTATAAATTTTATAGAATATGCCAACTCTCACTTGCTCTCTCTTTCTCTGTTACTCTCCACTCTTAATCGGAGACGTGGTCCATGCTCGTGTTAAATGTGTACTACATTGATAGAGTGCATTTATCATGCAATTAGCTTTAAACAATTTATAATGTCGTAATGATAATTATGAATTTTAAAGTGATTATGATAGCTATATTACAATATCGTTGTATAATATATCGCGGATAGCAGTAGCTTTCGTTGTCGTTGTTGCCATCACCGGTGCCGCGTGGGCGGTGGTGCGTTCCGCGTTCGTTATTTCGAACAATGCGGTGCACGGGAAAAATTGCGAGACGGCCGCAGTTATGGGTTGATTCGTTAACGACGTTAACGAAGACAGAATGCGTAATGTTGTACTGCAGTGTTGTCGTGACAACGGTTGTGTGGACCGCGGTGGAGTGTATATCATGTCCGGGGTTATGGGTGGGTGCTTGGTGTACGGTTTGAAGAGTGAGTGTGCACCCGGGTGGTTTTCGTGTGCCCAGTGTATATAGGCGTTAAACTGCTCGCGTGCAGCACGGGGTTCGAATGCAAATTTTTTTAGTCCCCACTCCTCCCTATAGGTAAAGATATCTATATATATATAAATATATATAAAAACAGAAAAATGAGTGTATATCAATATATATATATATATATACATATTAGTTTGACAAGCCCAACGTTCATCTTGTACATTATACCGTGTTGCCAGGGGCGTATTTTAGGGGGGGGGGGATCGATCGCCCCCCCTTGATCGATCATGTGAGATAAATATTTCAAATTTTTTTAATGTGGATAATTTTATAACGATATTTAGTGCCCATACCAGGGCATCAAAACGTTTCTAAACAATTATAATTTATAAATATGCTTTATGAAAATACGTTGGGTATTGTCGGCGCGGACCCGTATGGCCTGCCTAATAAAAAATAATTTTAGTGAACATCGGTGAAACATTAGTAGTAATACACTATACATAAGTTATAAATTGACAATAAATACATATTTTACGTGATATGAGCATTTTATTGTTGTTATACAATAAATATGATTGCTTTATTTATAAGTTATGAGTAGGGGCCGGAATTATATTCTTTTAAAATAGCCAAAATAAGATGCTAATATTATCTTTAAAAGTTGAAAATATTCTTCCATTATTCTTTAAAAATCATAATTAAATATGAAAAAAATATCCTTTTTTATTAATATATTCTCTTGAACTAAAAATATTCATTTATATGCAAAATAATACAAAAACCGATATAAATAGGTATATGATAAGAAATAATATGCAAAAAATCAGAAAAATAACACATGGTAAAAAAATTTGATTAAATTATATTAATTATAATAAGATATTTTTAATTTTTACGGCGGTCTTTTAATATGTTTTTATACGTGCTAAATGAACGTTCGACGTCAACTGAAGTCACGGGAGCATTTTGCATATCAGTAGTCGGTGAAAAATAGTCTATAAGTTGAACTTTATTATTTCTATTCAAAACTTTAGCTACGTTTTTCAAAATGATGAGCCATTGATTTTTTTCTTTAAGTTTATCAATTTTTATTTTTATTTTATTTCCATTTTCTCCAGGTATTTTTTGAAGTCGACCAATTGTATTTTCAATTAAATTTATCGAATCAACAAGAGACACATTAGACTTTTCTATACTTCTGATGGATGTTACGAAAACAAAAAAATAGATCTTAACAAATATTAGATCGTTTTCAATGGTTTTTAAGTCAAAACTGTTTTACATTTAAGTACTGACTGACTGGGAGATTTTTGACTACTCAATTCTCAATAAATTTTTTTAAACCTTGGAAATTATCACAGTTAAAAATAGCAGCTTCCAACTACGTTCCTCATCTGGTTAGTACTGGTTCAGGGGGTAACGGAATATCTAGTAATATTTCTTTATACACTTGTACATGGTATTGTGATTTTAGAAATACTTTTTATGTTATTAATTAATTTTAATTAATTTATGCCTAGGTGCATTTCTCCAACTCTTTCTGCAACCCTATTAAACATGTGAGCTACATACGTAACATGAGTTAAATTGGGATAGAAAACTGCAAGTTGCTGTCCCGTTTTCACCATATACGGCGCAGAATCTGAGAGCATCAACAATACTTTTTCATAATTTCCGCCTAAGGGCCACAGTAATTTTAACCCATCATTCACAAATCAAGTCACGGTAGAATGATTAGTCTTTTCTAAGACTTTACATTTTAAGAGAAAAGAACGAGTCAGATGATTTGACTTTAATACCCCAACCAATAAATTCGCCACATAACGGCCATTTATATCCGCTGTCTCATCAACAGCAAACCAAATATTATTATCGCTTAATTCATTTTTTATATTGAATAAATTCATATTATAACAATGTGATAGATAATTTTTTCTTAGTAGACTTTCATCGGGTATATGTTTGCTAGTATATTTTTCTAAAAATTCCCGAAATTGTGGATTTTGCAATTTATACCACGGAATATTTGCGGCAACAAGACTCAAACATAAATCTTCATAAAATGCATTTACATTTTTTTTAGAAATCGATTCTGATAAAAACAATTGTTTTGAAGTATTTAGCTTACGCTTTAGAGCTTCTCAGTGTGAAAATGTATCTACATGTTGTAATAACTGAGACTTTTTAATGCACGGTACATTTTTATTACACACTTGACAAAAAAGAGTTGTGCCATCAGTTGTAAAATTTATATTGTTTTTATTTATTGGTTGAATCCACTGTGAAATTAAATTTTTTAATTTAGTTGATGGTGTTTTCGGCATTATGAACAAGTAATAACAAACAACTAATGAAATATAGTGAAACTTTAATCTATACCTATGTCAATACTACACGACACGTGATACTGGAGTGTTGTACCGTATATGTCGTAATAATCAAACGCTTGGACCTAGCTATTTTTGAAGTGTAGTAATATTTCCATTTCTTGTCGGTCATTGTTATCTAATTGTTATTATCTATCATTGTTAGATAAGTCACTTTTCTACTACAGACTATTACAGTACATTACTAATTAGGGCATAATGATCGTGTATACGATGGTTATAATACGTATATAATATATCAATATCATATCACTATTATCGGACACATAATTTATATGGTTTACGCCACTGCAACAAAATATTCGAATATCTATACAAATTAATCGATATATTCTCTAATATTCTTTATTATACGAAGTATTCTTTTATCTAGAGAAATATTCTCAAATATGTTAAAAAAAACTTTTGCCATTAATTAATCGGTTTCATGATTTGTAAAGATTTTGAACCCCCGCCTGACTGCATAGCCACAAAAAGAATTCCTACCCCTAGTTATGAGTTATGAAAATATCGTTAAAGGCAGAGCATTGGCGCAACTAGGTCTAAAATATTTGGGGGGAGGGGCTGAAGCTCTACAAATAAATTTAGTCAATGTGAGCTACCCCCCATTGCCGCAGCCACAGAACAATAATTATTAATTAAAATAAAAACAATCATAAAATATTATTACCATACTATATTATTAAAAATCATGTACCTACTTCTATGTAGTATGTTTTACATAAAATATGACATAAAACCACCGCAATATTCCACTAACGTCCGTCACATTTATTAGATAACAATATTATTATTAATTATGTTGGATTGTAAAAGTTACAAAATAAACTGTAATAATAATATTTTATATTTATACAATTTACTTTTGAATAATTCTCTGCGTCATATATTATTATATATATATGATATTATATACATATGTATTCATATTATTTAGTATGTATCTCACTATCCCATGCTTAAATAAATCATTAAATCAAAAATTTGAGTTTCCCCCTAGAAGTAAGTATAAATACGCCCCTGGTTTATCGTCCATAAATATTTAAATATATAGGTAACCATAATTTTTTAAATATTATGAAGTTGGCAAATTTAATAAGTTGCCCCACCCTTTTAAAAGTTGAAACGACGCCCTTGGACGTAACTCAAAAAAAAAAAAATCTATAATTTGTAACAATGTCAATCAAAAATACGTTTTAGGTTCGATGTTTTAATTATTTCATCTGAAAATTTGACAAAAGTGAGTTATAATTTTGTATTTTTTTCACTGAATAGAAAACATACAGACAACTTGGGTAATTCATATTTTCGCGCTATTCTTACGAGTATGCCAAGGGAAACCTTTTTTTTTTTTAAATGTTTTTGTTTCTTTGGTTCTTAGTTTTTCAGTTTTAAAAATTTACTGTACGGCTGCGAGCTATGTATTTATATTTAATTTTCCCTCACAGTAATGTGTAAGAATTAAGTTACGGTCTTGGAATTTTTCTTTACGATCTTATGTTTATTCCTAGTAAGATATTTCTTGATTGAAATACGAGTAGGTTAAAAAAAAATTAGTTAAAATAAATATTAATTCTCTGCCAAAAAAAAAAAAAAAAAAATCGCTCTTTATTCAATTTATACTTATTAGTGTCATGAAACCCTATTTAAGATGTACGACTTTATTGTCTAGCTTACTAGTTAAATTAGTTGTATTATATGTTTAATATAAATGTATTAAATATATTTATTTGAATTAGCTAAACGTATTTATTTATTTAAAATGTTTATAATACTGTATGACCAAGTATATATATTTTAGTACACATTTTAGTTAACTCGATTTTATAGCTTTGTTCGTTGTATACGCGTCAGATAAATATAATAACTTATGGTATAATTTTCATTCCCACAAAATAAGAACAAAATATTTGAGGTTCGAATCGTATTATGAAATGTTATCATATTAATTATGCCATTATATCTGTTATCTGTGTAATATTCTAAACCTGTTTTATTATGTACATAATTTAATTATAAAAACAAATATTATAAATTGTTTATATATATAGAATATTTATTTTATATATACTAAGGGTGGGTTGCATAAACGTTTGTTAGCGACTTGCAGACAGTTTACAGACTAATAAGACACTAATATTTCGGTTATTAAAATTGAATGTTTCATAAACGCCAAATAGTATGCATGGTTCTGTAAAGGCTATTTCAGACTATAATAAGTAAATAGTAATTTAGTCAAGTAACGAGTATTTTAGTAACTAATCATGTATGAACATCGATTTAGTCGAGTAGTTTAGTAAAGTAATTTAGTTTAGTCATTCCATTCTATTCTATTTTTTTGGTCGAGTAGCACCCCCCTCTTTCCCGACTTATAACTATTATTCATTTTGACAATCACTTTTCAAAGCACCAAAACGACCACTAATGTACTAAAACAGTTTTAAACCATAGTTGTGTCTAAACACTATTCAGTTAATAAACCGTTTAGTAGTTAGTAAATCACTTACCACTTGACTAAATTACTGGCATAGTCTGAACTAGCCTTAAGTTACTGATTGTTGGATTTGTATACTACAGACCCGATTTAGGTTCTGTAACTTACAGATATATTAATGATAACTGATATTCATAGACGTGCGATGATTTTATCCGCAGGAAGGCCCCTTAAAAAAAGTGAACCAAAGATTCTTGTACTAAAAACTACTAGTATAATTAAATATTTTAAATTTTATAAATTATTTAATTCAATATGCAAATATAAAAATATATACTATTTAAACTTATACAATTTATATCTAAGAAATCCTTATTTACATATTATTTTACTACAGTGGTCGCCGCTTAAAGTGATCACATTCGTTCGAGAGAATTGTAATCATTATAACCGGAAATCACTATAAACGGCGACTCGAAAATATATTTTTTTTCTCTAATTGAAAGCATGCTTCTACTAGTCATAATACAGTATACAACTACATACTATACAAACAGTACACTGAACGACGGACGAAAACAAACTGGGTATAAGAACAAAAACGATTTCAAACATGTACGAATGTACGATATGAAGTGTCGCTTATTACATGGGTTACATTAGATAAGATTAGCTCGATTAAAGTTCACAATTAAGATAATTGTCATTCGTAATCGTTTACCCTATACACAAAAAGGAGTAATATTACTGTAAATTATACTTATATTTTATATTTCTGATGATTATTTCTGATCACAATAACCGAAAACACCTGAACACTGTAAGCGACGAAAAATACACTTACAACGGCTGTTTGTTCCGTTCCTGGCATTTTTGATCAATATAAACGGCTGATTCTTATAACCAGTGAACACTATAAGCGGCGATCACTGTATTTACAACTCCATCCTTCTGTCCACGGGAGTAAGGTTTTTGAATGTATCAATTACATCTTCATTTTTCATATTATATGCAAGTTCTAATTAGTCTGATTAATAACTAATAACTTTATTATATTTATTTACAGATATCAATTCTATACTATGAGATTAAAACTGGCTTTACTTTATTTATGTAAAATGTAAAAATGTTCGCTATCTTGTATAGTGTAGATATATAGCTGCGCCCCCCCCTCCCCCCGTGCGCACGCCTATGCCGATATTATCAATTACAAATTTTATCCACAATATTTATATAATTAATTTTGTTTCTTTTTAAACTATAATAATTTTCGGTGAAATACATAAACGCCAAAATGAGATAAGAAAAAAAAAGTCGTATCGTACAAAAGCACCAAAATCGTATCGTACGAAAGCGCCAAAATTGTGTCGTATTAAAGCGCCAAAATCGTAGGTACCTATAAGCCTCTGTTAAATAACAGATATTAATTTGGACTGAAATTCCGGATGAGGTTATACGAACAACAAATGCAGCTGAATTATATCATCGACATTTAAAATATCAATTTTATGTGGCTCATTGTTCCGTTCATATAGTAATTAATGTATTATTAAAATTACAAAGCGAAACATATTTATTTATAAACTCTCCTCGTATCAATAAATTAAAGATATCTCACGAAGAAATAATTGTTCAATGGAAGAAATACCAGGATGGTGAAATAAATCGTACAGATAAATACGTGAAAAGAGTGGGATTAAAAAATTAACCAATTTATACATTATAATATTATATAATTTTATATTATAATTTATTATCGACATAATAATATTAATATAATATATAATATAATTTTTATAAGATATAGCAATTTTTAAATAACTACCTACTTATATCAAATATTAATTTTGGCGCTTATGTCATATGTCGGGTAAAACAGGTATACAATATTATTGGTGCTTATGTCATACAGCCATAATTTTAATCATTAATAATGGAATCTTCTACGTCATTTTCATCCAACGATGAAGATCATTTTGTTATACAAATCGTTCAATTTTTACCAAGACCGCGAGATTTTCGTGATAGATCAAATCCCCTAATGGATCACGGTTTATTCATAGAATTATGATTATTATGATTGTAGTATTATGATTATGTTTACTATAATATTATCATTTTAAATTTATAGAATACGTTAATTTAGTATCAATAAGTTAATATTATTTTCGTTATCATTATTTTTATCACATAAAATGCGGTTTAATTTATTTGGTAACCACAGCTATCAATAACATTAACATTTCTTTATGAAACACCTCAATAATATTATCGATCAGTAAAACTTAACAGAATGAATAAGTTACAGGGCCAGTAACAAGTTTACAGACTGATCTTTATGCAACCTGGCCTAAATAATATGCATTAGTGTAGGTTTATAAATGTTATTAAAAATAATGGCATTGTATAAGCTTTTTAATTTTGATTGGAAATAAAATTGAGTATAGGTTTTTTGTGCAATTATTAATTATAATACAAGTGTATTCTTGATACATATATGATTATAAAATACAGGGTGTCCCGTGAGGATTTACCCATTGCGATATTAATGTTTGTAGAAAATTATTTTTAAATTTTATTATCTATAAAATACTTCACAAATCTATTTCTTATATTAATTGCGGTACTTGACGCTCGATTGTTGGCTCTGCCTTTGTAATTCAGCGATATCATTTGATTATGGCCCTTCGATATGTCTGTTTCGTAATCGTCTAGGGCGTAATGTTGTGTTGATGATTTTTTTTCCAAATCTATTATTGTATTGTGTAAAATACAAATAGCCTTTACAATATGATCCGCGTTTTCTACTTTTGTTTCTATTGATTTTAATAGAATTCGAAACTTTGATGAAGCTATGCCGAATGCACATTCGATTGTCATTCGTGCTCGCGCATGTCTATAGTTGTAATACTGTTTTTCGTTTTTTTGACACTGTTTTCTTGGAAAAGACCTCAGTAAGTAATTTTTCAATGGAAAAGCTTCATCTCCTAAAAACACAAAAGGAGCCAAGGCGTTCGAATTTGGTAATTTAATTTCATTCGGTAGTTTAAGCGAACCGTTTTCGATACGTTGATAAAATTTAGAATTTACCATAACACCACCATCACTATCTTTCCCGTATCCACCCACGTCTATCATCAAAAATCTATAACTCGCGTCAGCTACTGCCATTAGAACAATCGAGTGATATTGTTTATAATTAAAATACATACTCCCGGAATTTTCAGGGCATCGCAGTCTGATGTGTTTGCCGTCGATACTTCCCACACAGTTTGGAAAATTCCATTTTTCATGAAATTTTATTGCTGTGCTTTTAAAAGTATCGACGATTGGAGTAGACATGTGTTTGAATTTTAACGTATTCCATATTACTTTACACACTTCAATAACAATGCTTGAGACTGTGGACTTAGATATTCTAAATGAAATTGCGATTTGCCTGAATGTTAGTCCTGTTGCTAAATACCTAAAAAAATACATTTTCACAAATTTAGTTACAAATAAAAATTGATTCACAGGAGAAGACGTAAAACAGAAATGGAAAAATATAAGAGACACGTGTTTAAAAGAAAAGAAAAAAGTAAAAAAGAGCCGTTCGGGAGACTCAAGATAATGCAGAGGTGTATACTGGTAAATGGGTCTATTATCATTTATTGCATTTTTTATAAGACACAACCACTCCTAGAACCACCGAGGGAAATGTATCTGATGAAAACGAAACGCAATTACAAATGTCTGACCTTTCAGATTCGGAAGAAGTTAATTCATTTTCGAGTAGTTTTATTTATATTGAAGGTATTCAAAGTCCTGAAAATCCAGTTTCTGTCACACAATCAGAATGTTTTACCATTCCAAGTACTTCAAATTTGTCGCATGTTAATATTTCAACAAGTATTTCCAATGATTCAGATACCTTTTCTAAGACTTCTTCAATCAAAAGAAAAAAAAAGCAAGAAAATAAAAGTTTTGAAAGTGAATTATTAAAATTGGAAACACAAAAAATTAACGCGTTACTTGAATCTAATAAACCACTAGTGCAGGATGATGAAGACATGATGTTCTTGAAATCACTTCATCCATATTTAAAAAACATGGATGATTTACAAAAATAACGAGTAAGAAACGAAATTCAAACTATACTAATTAACCAATTGTTAATAAAAAATCAGCAACATCAAAATTCAAACATCCCACCTGCACCAATACATGAACTCTACATTCCTCAACATATTCAAGAACAGATTACCACAAATTCGTCAGATAATCCAACTTTTATTGGTTACCATTAGTACTGATTAACAACAACATCAAAATTAAAAAAAAGAAAAAATTTAAAATCAAAGGAAAATTTACTTTTAAGGACTTCTATTTTGTTTTCAAAATACAAAAGTTTTTATTTATTTTTCATTACTACATTTTTTTAATAAATTTTTAATTATTATATTAATATATGCTTTTTTATTTTACTTACCTTATTGTTACAAGTAACCTCTGCTCTACGGAAATAGGTTCTTGGAAATTTGTGGTCTTGGGATCAAATTCCGGTGATATTAATTTTAAAATATAATCAAATGTATCGGTAGTCATTCTAGTATAAGATCGAAATGAAGTTTTATTTTTTCGCAACTGTGGATATAGGTGAAAGAATTCACCAAAAACAAGTTTATCTTTATAAATAATTGAATTTACAACTGATCTTCTTTTTTTTTAAATATTTTTTATACAGTAAATATTTTAGTGTAGTACTTTCTAATAAAAATAATTGTTTTTGTAAATTCGATGATATTTTTAGTTGACTTAGTCTTTAAAAAAAAGTTAAGAATGAAAAATATAAAAGAGCTGAACATAAACACATATACCGTACATTACACTTCAAAACATACTGCACGTCTGAATGTCAAAAAAATAAAAAATATACGAATATTGTCTGCCGCAAATTCGCGTTCACGTAGGACATAGCGTTATACAGCAAGAAATTAACTGATAACTATATTAATGATAGGTATATTTCAGGCGGACGAATATTGAAGAAATTAATATCAGTATATAAAATTAGCATAGAATCTGATACTATTTTTAGGACAATACCCAATTAGCCGGCTGGCGGTTGTTGTCGCTCAGACGGTCATAAAAATATTGTTGTTATCGACAATTCATTCATATATGTTATAAAAATAGAAGACGAAGATCTGTGACAATAACAATACATTAACATGGTATAACACAAAATATTGCAATTTAATAGTATAACAAATTAAATTAATATAATAATATAAATACAAATCTTTTTAAATATGTCTTAATAATACATTTGTTAGTAGTTAAAGAGTAGTTATAGGTTATGGTTACTATGGATGCGAATTCTGATGAAAATGTGTTCTGACGAGTGTGAAAATCCTCGTCAGAACACGAGATGGTTACACTGTGCGGGTTTTCTGATATTCTGACAGTACGTTTCTGCCACTCAGCAAAGATGGACAAATTTGATGAATTTATGTTCTCGAAAGTCCGTTAATTAAGTTATCATTGTTAAATGGTGGAAAACAGAGCAAGTTAACCAGTTATTTTCTAGAAGAGACGAAAACATATCTCTGTTGTGGTAATTTTTTTTATCTCATGTCCCACAAACATCTGTTCTCGTACATGAGACCGATTAATTTATCGGGATCCATGATTCAAATTAATTAATATATTAATAAATTATATAATAATTGTAAAATATCAAATTTGCTAATCTCAATCATGCCAAAATAGACGCAGTTCGCGCGAAAAAATCAAATTTGTTTGAACGCTCAACTGTTTCTGACGATATCGTGTATGTTCTGACGTGATCGTCGCTGCCAATGTAAACACTCTTATTGGAAAATATGTGTTTGGACGAATTCGTCAGAACACATTTTCGTCAAAATTCGCATCCATAGTAACCATAGCCTTAGCTATAATTTTGTAACTTATAAGTTAAAAGTTTGACTTTTACATAATTTATTCAAATTTCTGTTTCTACTATAATAATAAAACAAATTATTTTCTTTATGTCTTGACCTTAATTTAAATTTTAAATGACATTTACACTATATCCTTTATACTGTGTATTTAATTGAGCGAATAGTTAAAAGTAAGTGCATTGACTTCAAAATTATCGCTAACGTGTTGACATGACTACATAGGTCAATTGAAAAACGATGTCGTCATAAATCCGCAGTGTCTCTAACAAATAGTCTAGTTCACTTACAATTATCCGTCGTCAGCATATCATTTTGATGTTTTCTAAAATTCCAAAATTCTACCCTGACTATACCTTGAATTTAGGTAATTTATTCTTTTTGTTTTATATATTTGCATACAAAACATTTCCATTATGTAGTTTATACAATAAAATTGACAAATGTAACTTTTGTATAGAGTGGAAAGAAATAAGGAGAGACAGCCAACTTTTGTAGTATAATGTACTTACGAACCGGGTATTTGGCAAAACGAATTAGATCATGAGTTAAATTGAACTGAAATTAAGGGGTTGCAAAAAAACATTGTTGTTTTTACCTAAAATCTAATGAATATCTCATTATGTTTACAACTTTGGTATAATTTTGTTTTGGATAAGTTTTTTTTATTTATTTTTTTTTTTTGTTCTGATTTGCTTACTACTTATTTTATTTTCTTTCTCACTAAATAACCGTCATTCAAGTGTTCTAAGTTTATCTAATGACGTAAAAATATTGTGATAATATAATAATTATATATAATAATGGTTATATGGATATTAGGGTATCATTTTTACTTTTAACCTAGTTATTTTTTTATTTTAATTTAATATTTCAACAGTTGAAGACCAAAAAATTGTTTTAGAACAAAGGTATTTTTTTTTATTTTTATATTTTATCTGTTTCTACCATTGGACCAGTATCATTTGTTTAGTATTTTATTATTATCCATTTGGTCTATTAAATTTATCTTTTTTTGGCTACTATGGTACATGCAACATTTTGTTATTGGATTTAAAATAGTTAATATTTCATTAATTTTCTGTTGTTAGGTTCTAATAAATATTGTATATGACTAATAAATGATAAATTGACTTTTTCAATACATTTTTGCATATAAATGTTCAGTCTAATAAATTTATATATGCATTTAAGATATTAATACACACATATACTGGTATTATCTTAATAGTACAGCAATAGATACATAAGAAAATTGTGTGAATAATAATTTTACTTACATATTCACAATACATGAAGTCAAAGTATTGACTCGACAAGGAATATATATTGTAACTTATAGATTGAATGATGCATGCAAAAAAAATATTAATAAACCGACTATAGTGACACGTAACTGATTTTTAAATTGTGTACGTTTGGTTGATAGCGTTAATTTTTTTCAGTCAAACAATCGGGTTGCGGATATGTTTACCGAAGAACCATTTGTTGAACCGTGTTCATTTGGGGTTTCTCGTTGCTGATACATATTGAAGAAACGCTATCAAATGGTTGTAAAGTGACCCGATAGTATAGTTCATTGGCGAGAAATGGCAATCGGTACGGTGACTTTTGATATGTTTATAATTGTGACATAATATTTAGCGAAATTGGTCTGAGATATGGTTCTGTGATTTTCGCAAGATCGGTCTCGGATGAGCTTCGCTAAGTATGTCGTAATATACAGGATATTTATATAATAACTCCCAAGTATCTATGGTAATATCCCTTCGAGACTGATGTAGGAGCGTGTACCTTTTCTGCATTATAAAGTCTATACAACTTTTTTAACCGTTTCAGTATCGAGCTACTGTAATAACGGCTTCTCTCTGTCCCGAAGAAATGTCGAAATTCATTATTTGCTAAGGTCATGCTGATTTGTCAACACTCCTGAGAAATTAAATTTACTGCGATTCCGAACGAAAAAATGCAACGGTTGTATCTTATCGATACATTTAAAAATTAACTAGGGAGTTATTTATGTATAATACCTCTTATATATTGTTTTATGTGGCAACCAGTAATAACGCCTTACTTAATAACCAGCGCATGCATTATAATATAATGTTATGTTTGGGTGAATCGTTTGTTGTGCGTGCTGCAGACGTGGTACGGACGCTGCGGCAGAAAATCATTGCCGTTTGCCGGAAGCTGGGCATCGGCGTGTGTCTGCGCACCGTAGTGTTGATATTTTGTCTCACGTTCTTCTGGGTACAGTTGCACATGTCCGACGTAGCCGATAACGAAGCTATACAGATACTGGCCAAGCCGGATGGGCTGCTGGATGCTAACGATTCCATGTTGCAACTGGTTCCGCAGGTGTGCGAGATTTATATAAATAATAATGTTGATGATGATAATGGTAATAATAACGATATATACGTACCTATTATTGCGTACCCGCAGCTCTACCTATACCTGATATGTGTATTACGACTTGTGCATACACCGCGAATCCGTTACTGCGAAATGTACAGGGTTATTTTTTCTTAGCATGCCAGTCTATGTTTGGAAAAATATCAGTGTTATATTTTTTGTATTTTTCTCTTATGCGTTCTGTTGTATTGGTTATAATTATAATATAATATAATATAACATAATATATTATAATATTATATAATCTTAGACTAGACGCGAAGGAACTGATGATTTGATAAATAAGAAGTTATTTTTTCCCCCGCTATTTGAATACATTTAGTTGTAACCCATCATACTTATAACTAATTGGGTAATTCGATTTTTATTGAATATTATATTTATGTATAGTTATCAGAATTTTAAAAATATAATTTCTTTTAAAATAGCTGAATGAAAAGCAAATGTTGATACTGTTTTAAACTTAACTTACTAAATTAAAATAATTGTAAAAAAATAGTTCTTTTCATTTTTTAGCATTGTACGCGTACTAAAAAAATTCATTTTGTGACAACGTATGTGTTGAATAATGTTCAAGACTGTACTGTGTATTTATATTAATGATTAATACATTTGTAAGGTACATAATGCGTTTTCGTATAATTATAGTTAAACCGCAAACGGATACGCATTGAACTCATTTTGTTTCCGCTGTACCTATTGATTTTAATATTTATATGAGTATATATAATATCGTTGTTATAATGTGTTGCGTAATAACAATGGCATGTTGCATGCAGTCGACCAATCGCCATTTCATACGAAACGCGCATTGTCTTACGATTTTTCTCAATCCTTACAGCATTTACACAAGTATCTGGTGGCATTGCATCAACGCGATCGTCCACATCAAGCCATACTGCCCGGAAACGCCAGCGAACACGTTGCGAACACGGCTACCAGTCTCAATGCTTCCGAAATTCGACGCCTGATCGACCAACAAAATTCCAAACAGGCTGTGTACAACGAGGACGTCTACGGCCCATTACAAAACGATTCTCTAGTCATTGTTATCCAAGTATGTGACCTTAAACGATAATATAGTGTTGTATTGTAAAATTTTGATGGATAAAAATTACATAGTACGGTTCGTAATTTTTACGTCGAACTACTGTTTATACATAGACAAATACTTCCTTTTATATCGATGGTGGATTTAGAGTTAAATTTTTGTAGAGGAAGGATAATCGAGTAAACACCAGACGAAACTCCATTACAAATGTTCCTAGAATTTTACTTTCAAAGGTCAACTGTAAAGAGCTTTGATTCCCATACCCTCTCGCCCTAATTAAAAAATACATAACAAAGTTTACTTATTTCTGTATACAATTCACAAATCATTCTCAATGTTAGTGTTATTAGTGTTATTATATACAATCTTTACATATCTATACAATTATTAACGAATTTATTGTGAAGTTGAATTATTATTATTAACTAGCTGAATAACCCGGCTTTGCCCGTGTGCAGTTTTTTGTGTTATTTATGTATTACATTTGTTGACCCCAAAATACCCATATATAGTAAAACCAAAAATTGGCAAAAATTAGTATATTTTAATATTTCGAAGAAAAATTGTAAAATGCAATTCTAATCGGAGAAATGTTGAAATAAAATATACCTACAAAATTATAACTTACTGTATAGATTTTTAGTTAAAAAAATGTTTTACGTATTATTATTATTTATTAGATCACCTTGTTTTATTAAAAATGGTCAAAAACACTAAAAAAAGAATCGCTTATGACACGTACTGCCATGATTATTTTAAAAGTTAAATATAATATAATATATATTATCGATAAAGTGTTAAGTATGAACATTAATATATATCTGAGATATATCAACTATCCATGGTCTCATTAAATATATTATTATATTAACTTTAACGAACAGGTATAATAAAAAACATGCCTCTAATATCTTTATGATACAGTTTTAACAATAACTACTTAAATATTTATAGCAAATGCACTGACCGAGGTGCATATAAAAATATAATATTATATCAATTTTTTTTCATTTTTATCCCTTTTAACCCCTGTAGAGGTTGAATTTTGAAATATCTTTTCTTGTGTTTTTTTTTATCATAAAATGAACTTACTAACTAAATTTCAAATTTATAGCTTCAGTGGTTCCGGCTAGGCGAAGATGAATCACCCAAGACAAGTAATTTTATATATAGAGATTAGGTATCTTATTATGATTTTTTCAAATTTATTGATTAAAACTATATTTTAAATAATCTGACGTTTGTTAATTTTATTTTAGTTGTATTCTTAAAGTCGAGTACATTCAAGTACATACCTCTAAATTCATAATAATACGAAAAAACACATTTTTACCTCCAATTATTCCAATAATGAAAAATATTAAATCAAGCTTAAGAATTTTTAAGCTTGAACAAAGTGATAATAAAAAATTTATTTAAATACTAAATACTGAAAAAAATGCACCCAATGTTTTAGGAATAATTTTAACGTTTAAATTCCTTTGTATAATAATTGGTTAGTTATAATATATTATTAAACAATACTATGATTTAAGTACTGTTGTTTATTTTGTATAAACCATATCAATTGATGGGCAGTATGATAGTTGATAACTAAATTTGAATTAAGAATAATATTCATAATATATAAAGAATGTGCTTTTGGTATACTTGATAATATGAATAATTTGGTATTCACCGCTATACCGAAAAATACTTTTACAATTAATATGGTATAGTTCTTTTACGTTATAGTTCTTATCGAATGGGCGTCTATTATATCTCGCTGTGTGTATGACGTCTAGACAATAATTTAATAATATCTATTATACCACAGCGATGCAAAAACATACATACATATTCCTGTCCCATATGAATAATAATTATTACTATTATTATTTAGGTCCACACACGTATCATGTACCTCCGACACACCATAGTAAGTTTGGCTCGAGCGCGGGGCATCGAAAATGCATTGTTAATATTCAGTCACGACCATTATGACGAGCAAATAAACGAACTAATACAGATGATCGACTTTTGCAAAACCATGCAAATATTCTATCCATATTCCATACAGACGAATCCGTTTTCATTTCCTGGCGAATCGCCGGATGATTGCCCCAGAGACATTACCAAATCAGAGTAATTATTTTGATCGTAATTCATTATCAACCGAAATATGAACTTATGTTATATTCAATATGAAATTTATATAATGACATAGTTTAATATATACTATATTATATATGTATGAATCAATGATTTAACACGATTTTCACGTATTTGTGGGGTGGTTTTCTTTTATTCTGTTGGGATGTAGAGCAATCAAACGCAAGTGTATCAACGCCATGCATCCGGATCAATACGGCCATTATCGAGAAGCAAAGTTTACCCAAACCAAACACCATTGGTGGTGGAAAGCAAACAGGGTATTCAACGAGTTGGATATTGTTAGTAATTTCTCAGGTACGGGCTCGTTGCATTTTTGTTTTTTTTTCGGCCGAGTAACACACTATTTTATTGTTTGTGGATGTCATTCATTGCAGGTCCAATACTATTTTTGGAAGACGACCATTATGTAGCTGAAGATTTTATTTACATGCTTAAGTTGATGGTAAAATCATGCAGAGTGGCGTGCCCACAATGTAGTATATTGTCGTTAGGAACCTACTTAAAGACGTACAATTTTTATGGAGAAGCAAAGGTGCGTTTTCATTATTTATTTTTTATCATTGCTCATAATTGTTTACCTACATAATAATTAATATTCAGATGACCCTCATGAATTTTATATTTAAAATAACATTTGGTGTTAATTGACAAAATTTTTTCATTTTGACCGCTGCTATTATGGATCGATTTTGAAACACGCTATACGCACATTTATAAAATAATAAAAAAATCGTCAAATTATAGAAGGATATTTTAAGGGTAATACGTCGACAACAAATATTTGCAGCGGAATTAACACCGCCATCTTGGAGCTTTAAAATAGTTCCTTCATTTTCACATTATGATAAGGTTAAACAATATCTCCTTATTTGTATATTTTTATTTTACTGCATGAAAAATTATAAAATATTCATTGACTATCTAACCGTTTTCATTTTACTTAAAATTACCACTTCATTATAGTTATTGAATTTATTCTTGAATTTTAAAAATTTCAACAATAATTTTTTTTTTAGTTTTGTATTTGGCATTTGAAAGCATGCTTTTATTGTATTAATAACATTAACTGCTATTTTATAATATTTTTAATTTTAAATATAAAAATAAATAAATATTGCTGAATCGCTTATCATTTGCTTTTAGCTAATGTCTACCTAAATACCTTAATATACTATAATAATACTACCCTAATCATTTTATACGTAGGTATACAAAAGTTTGCAAAGAATCGCAATTGAAATTATAATACTCGAATACATTTGTTTTTATGAGTAAATAGTAGCCTTTGTGAGTAACCGTAATGCAGTTTTTCAATACATTTAGTTCATAAATAAAAGGTATTTTGATTCTAGAGATTTTTGTGCTAACGATAAATTAAAAATACAATTAATTCATGAACGTTTCGTACCATCTACATAAAACTTGAAATTACATTTCAACTAGACACACAATTATTTCATCGATTATATGTATAATATACACTGTATATACTTTATAGTACCGAATGTCTGTTTAGTTCAATTAATATCAATATTAATATTGATAATATTTATGTAGGGCTTAATAGTAAATCATTATTTTTAGTTTTCTCTTTACTGATTATTTATGTTAATGTTATTTGTATGTATTTGTATGCAATGTATTTGATAATGTATAAAAATAGAGTTTTTGGTGAGTTGATAAAAAAAGTGCAAATAAACGTAAAAAATATTTATTTAAATTATTATAAATGTATGTTTACAAACATCTCTAAAAACAATTTTGTTAATAAAAGTGATTAAAATACCATTTCAAATTTTTTAAATTTTCTAATAATATTAATTTTAATAAAATTGAGATTTTTATTTTTAAATATGTTTACCTATTTCTTTAATAAAATGTAGAAGTTTTGTACTAATATTATACTTAATATATTTAAGATGCATGCAAAATTTAACATAAACAAGCTCAACGATATCATAGACGTGCGCATGGGGGTGCCGGGTTATAAATTAGGCCCTACAATTTAAGTCTTAGAGTAAGGGCACCGTATTTTAACTGATATTCAAATTAAATGTAATTTATTCTAAAATTTTTGCGTAAAAAATTTATTACGATGATATAACAGCTAAAATCGACTATAAAAGTAAAAATAATAAATAATTGAAGCTCTCTAAGAATAATATACAAGATTCAAGGAAAATATATTCATTAGGACTAATATACCACAGTATTAAATGAAAAATTATAGTTATGTTTATTTAATTATCTATACATTATAATTTATTAAATATACCTACACGTTTTAATAAACGTTAGGACTCAAAAGTAATGTAGATACCCTCTAAAATACAGGTCTGCGCACTTCTATCTCTATGATAATCACTCTGATATTATACAGACAAATTAAAATAAATTCAAAAGAATTATCTAGAATTATACTATGTTATGAAATAATTATCTAGAAGAATTATCCATTCAAAATTACAGATTTTACGAGCTTGCGTTATTTTTATTTTCTTTGCATTATACATTTTATATAATTTTATACTGTTTTAATATTACGGCATTAAAAATTAAAAATAAAAATAAATAAATGTAATTAAAGTACTAATTTCTCATAGAAAAAAATAATATCAATAATGTATTTACTAAACAATTTAATACCAAAATATTAAATAGTTTAATGATTTTCTGCCATAATTTATTTTACGAAATTAATCAATATCTTAAAATATTTTTACTACTGATAGTTCAAATTATTAAGTTAAATTGATGATTTATGTTATCCATATATATATATTATAAAAACTATGGTTAAGTTATAATAAACATGATTATTACTGCACTGTAATTACTGTATCATATGTTAGATCATAAAATTGTCGAAAAAAATAAAATCAAACATATTTACTTAAACTTCAAATTTGTTTAAGTTATTAAGTGTATAAACATGAAGTAGATATTAGTCAATTGTTGAAAAAAATAATTCAACTTTATCTTCTATGTTTTTCTGAATTTTATTTAGTTTAATATTATAGAAACTGGTACCTAACTACAAATTAAAAAAATTTAGTATTCTTGTTTAATTAAAATATGTCTTTATCAGTCAAAATTGAATTCATAATTTATTGATGACAGTAATGATGTGTTTGACTCTTCTAATTTGATTTATAGTGTGTTTATTTAATTTGGTTAGTTATAGTTGATTTGGAATTCTATAATTTATTCAATATTATATTGTAATTACAAAGAATATCATAGTTAGTATTTAACCTTATAAGTGTTTTTAAGCACGTAGATTTATTGTTAAATTTTGTGTTTTTATTATAAAAAAAAAAAACTGTATTAGCTAATGAATCCTATTTTAGTTAAAAAAAAATTTTCATTTGTATAATTTATGTCACGTTTCTAATTTTTCAGGCTGAAATATCTCAATGGATTAGTAGTAAGCATAATATGGGTATGGCATACAATCGTACAGTTTGGAAAAAAATTGTTGATTGTGCCGATACATTTTGCAAGTACGATGATTACAATTGGGACTGGAGTCTACAGAGTGTATCCAATAATTGCCTTAGCCACGAATTTAAAGTGTTTGTCCTCAAAGCACCTCGAGTATTTCACATAGGTGAATGGTAAGTAGTTGTACTATTGATGTAACAATTATATGAAAATATTAAAATGAATGTATTTTTCAACAGTGGGGTTCATCATAAAAAAAGTTGTTTTGACATGGCACTCATTGCCAAAGTTCAAAAACTGCTTAGTTCGGTCTACAAATATCTATTTCCAGATAAGTTGGAAGTGACCTATGCACCTATCAAGAAAAAAGTACTGCGCAAAGGAAATGGTGGCTGGGGTGATATACGTGATCATGAATTGTGTTTGCGTTTGGTAAACCACCAATGGTGACACTTAGCAGTTTTTATTTATAGCTTTAAAGAACTAGTTAAAGTTCCTATATATGATTAGAGTATAGCCATGATGAGAATTGTGTTTATTATGTTTATGCCCTGAATCAAGTCTTATTATATTTATTTTCTTGTTTTATTATTATTCATTTTTGTTCGTTTATTATTACTTTTTTTACTGTGTGATTTACATTTTTCATAATTTGTGTCTAATACATTGCCATAATCACGCTCAAAATTTTTTATTTAAACGTAGGACGTCAACTATTATAGGTTATTTTTAAAGCTTGATAACTATTACATTATTTATTTAATGGATTATTATATGTATTTATAATATATTTTAAATATTACTGTTGATTTAACTATTTGGCATAAACTTACACACCATTGATGTTTTGAAGTATACTGTGAGTGTAATCAATAATTTTATATTGACATAAAAATAAATTACTTGTGTAATTTTTTTCTATAATTTTTAGAGTTGATTTTAAAATCCTACATTATGTTATTTATCTATAAAAATTCCGTTTTTGAATTTGTATTTAGTGTATAACTTCATTATAAATGTTGCCTAAAATAAAAAAAAAGATTGCAATTTATTTTATGTAGGTAAATAGTAATCATAATGTACAACTGTGAAATGAACTTTCTAGTCGTTTAAAGTCAATGTAAAACTTTTAGTTATGTTAATTGCCTAAATAGTAATAGTCATTAAATTAAGTTTTAAATGTGATTGTCATATTATTATTTAAGAATAAAGTAAAAATTAATTTAATGTCTTCCATATACAGTGAAACTTGTTTAAGATAGGTCCATATTATATGACCCAAACATTTTTTAAATAGAAATTATATTTGATCTGGTCATTGTGGTATTGAGAATACTATACTTGATGAATATAATACAAAATTTTTTCTTTTTTTTTTTTTTTAATACACTTCATCGTTTTGGGAAAATGACTCAATCGGCAAATCAAATATAAATACAGACAAAACTTTATGATACAAACTTTGGTATCAGAACCCTCTATTATCTATACTATAAATGGGATAATCCAACACTTTTTTATTTGAATAATTCCTTGAGGTATTAGAGATAAAACTAAAAATAGATAATCTTTGGAGAATTTTTCAATTATGCATGCTTTTTGTAATACATCAAAATGTAATACTTTAAATATAATATATAATTGATGGTATATTTTATATCTTGTATATAAAATATATGATATATATTATTTATAAAGATTATGTATAAATTATTATATTCAAATATTATCAAATACTTAAAAAAATAATATATAAGTATGTCTTTTTTTGTCATTAATCTAAATTGTGCTATGATCCCAATTGGTTTGGATACATTAGGTTCAATCATATTTTGATTTTTCAAAAATATTATCAATTATTCCACTCATTATAACACATTAATTATAATAATTATAAGATTGTTTATTAGAAAATAATTGTATGTGCAATGCTTTGAATCATTCCTTAATTTCTCTATGTAATTATGTATTTAAGATTAGGGCTGGTCTTAGTAAACTATGCGTCCTAGACAAGAAAAATTAATGCACCCTCTTTCATTCAAGTTGAGTACTTTTTACTCAGAAGTTAGAATTAAAAACAAACTGATACATTGGTGTCTAGCTTGCCCACCCCTAAAACCAGCTCTGATTAAGATATATGTAAAAACTAGAGTCTAGTAAATGTTATAAAAATTAATGCGCTAAATGTTTAAAATATTTTACAATAATTATATAATAATTTATATATCACACTGTATTAATATGGTATAAACATATATAAATGATGCAGTTTTCTCTTGATACATCTTCAAAAATAAATAAATAATTATTTGTTACAATTTTTTCTAACAGATATTTATTGTTTTAAACGAACTGATCATATAAATTTTATTTTTTTAACTTCTTTTTTTCGGAATAAGAAATAGTTTATTGAAGTAAAATTTTTTTAAACATTTATAAACCTTTTTAATTGGTGATCTAATGAGATAATTGCATTATTTGATGCGTCTTAGTATACAATTGAGTGCACTATATTATACACACCTAGGTTATATAAAACTTGGGCAATATATATTTTTATACTTAATTAAACTGTTGTATCATTGTCAGAATTATTTTTGTGTAGTTTTGCAACCAATTATTCATCATTAATAATATCTGTTTATTTTTCTCATTAATTTATTCATTCCTATTAAATGATGATTCAAACAAAAGACATAAGTTATAATTTTTTTAAATACATATGTATTCATCATTTATACAAACAATAGTATTTACAATATTTATTTGAAACATTATTTGGTATTTTTAAAATGCAATTGATTGTACTACAAAATTGTGTCTACATTGTATTGTTTATAATATTAAAATTCATGTGAATTTGTTATTTTTAATTTCTAGTTAGGACTAAAAATTATTACGTTAAATTTAATACATATTTTTAAAAGATATCTATGTTACGAAATAGAAGAAAAAGTTTACACAACTTAATAGTATTAACCAATGGTGATTTGAGTACTGATGGTATGCTAATTAATGTTGTGAAAATCTTAGTTATTATACTCCATTGTAATATAATATAAGGATTAAATGTTGAAATAAACAGAAACTTATATTCCATTAATTTATTGTCAGAATAAATGATGAACTATTATTAAATATATAATTTTGTTAATATCAAAAATTATTTACTTAGTTGAAAATAATATTAAAAATATTGTTATGAAAATGTTGACTGTGCTTAACCCTTGCTCCATATGAAAGATACAAAATCAAATTTAATATATTTTTTTAATTTCTAATAGTTTAGAATTACATTAATTGAAAGCCAATCCTTTAAACCCTATTGTCATCTACTTTAGCAAAATATTCTCTAGAAATAATTTATATGACAATACAACGTTTGTTGAGTCAGCTAGTATTATATATATATATATTACATTTAATGGTATTTTTTTTTGTAATTTTCATAAATCATAACTTATAAATGAAGCAATAATATTTGTTGTACAACAACAATAAAATGAACATACCACGTAAAATATGCATTTATTATCAATTTATAACTTATTTATGTTGTATTACTAATTTTTCTTCGGTGTTCACCGAAATTATTTTTGATGAGGCAAGCTATACGAGTTCCGCGCCGACAATATCCGATGTAATTTCAGAAAGCATACTCGTTTATTTTATTTATTTATCTTTCTTCGACCGCGCTAACCGAGAAAACTACTGAACCGATTTGACTGAAATTTTTTTTTTGGTTGAAACCCGACACTCTGCTGAAGGTTTTAGTACCACTTTTGTCAGTAAAAAAGTTCATAAAAGTTCATAAAAAATTAAAAACAATTGTACTTATATTGTGCGGCACGGCGGGCCACGGGTTTACAGCTACCTGCAACTTGACCTTTTTTTTTGTATCGTGTTTGATATCGGCGTTTTTTTGACATTCGTCAATAGTACACGCGCGTCCAAAAACATTTGCCGAAATTAATAATAGTTTTAATATTATAAGAAGTGTATGGAAAATACCGATCACGTTTTGCGTTATCGAAAAATACTCTTATGTAATAATACTCTTGCCAACAAACGTGTTACCATTGATTATAAATACTATTTATAAATAGTATTTATAATCAATGGTGTTACGATCCGTCTGACGCCGAACGCGTTTTTCCGCAAATAGTGTTTTATCTATTTTTATACTTACATTGTTAATCGCTTATATAATACGCAATACCTACTGCTTTTCTAATAGCAGGTTATTAGCTCATAGCTCACCGCACGTGGCATCACGGGCTCAGTCTGAGCTTGATAGCCGTCAAGTGTGGTTCTTTGTTACGCACACCGCTTTGGTTACGCACTGGCATAATTTGTACTTAGTTTTTTTACCTACTTTTTTACCTTTTTTTTTACCTAAATTTCGGGTAAGTGGCCAATTCATTATTATGCCGAGAGCGCAAAGAGCACGCATTGGCAGAATAATTGCCAATGCAACTCGAACGTATAACAGAAGGCAACAAAATAACACACCAGAACGTTCTCAAACACTTGCACAGGAGCAACGTAACGCTTTGAGTATGAAATCAGCGTTTAATTATCAATCCGAGATTGATTATTTAAATATTAAAGCGCTTAAAATTGGTCGAATGACTATATTATGTCCTAAATGCCATGCAAAAAATGGAAAGATGAAACCCATGGACTTTGCTGCGCTGACGGTAAAGTTGTTTTACACCAATTTGAGGATCTTCCAGACCTAATTAAAAGTTTAATTGATAATTCTCACCCTCTATCAAAACATTTCTTTGATAATTCTAGCCGGTATAATACTCTGTTTCAAATGACATCGTTTGGAGCAAACGAAATAGCTGAAGGGAACTTCATGCCCTCTTTTAAAATTCAGGGTCAAGTGCATCATTTAATAGGTAGTCAGAGTCGGATCAAATATCTATTCGAACAAATATGATTCCAAATTTAAAAAGAGGTCTCATTGAATCACTGCAAACAGTTTTGCGTAAAAATAATCACCTCATACAGAGCTTCAGATCTAATCTGGAGTCGAGGTCTTTTGATGAGTTGCAAAACTTTAAGTTAATTATTCATGCTAAAAGAGTTCCTCAAGATGAACACAAAGGTCAATATAATGCACCTACCATCGATGAAGTAGCTGTATTATTAGTTAATGAAAATAAAGGTCCCAGAGATATAGTTCTGCACGGTCAGATTGGACACTTGAGTCGAGTTTCCGAATTGAATAGATCTTATGATGCACTGCAATATCCATTAATGTATACTAAAGGCGAAGACGGTTATCACATTAATATTTTACAGAAAAATAACCAAAATCGAACAAAAACTGTCTCCTGCATGCAATTTTATTCTTATAGGTTTATGGTTAGAGAAACAAGTCTAAATCATCAACAAATTGTTATGCTTACAGTATTGAATGGCAAAAACGAAGTTTGCCACACTGCCACATTCTTTTGTGGTTACAAACGAAAATTCAGCCAGATGAAATTGATAAAATTATTTCTGCCGAAATACCAAACAAAGACAGAGATCCTGTACTTTATGAAATAGTATGCAAGAATATGATTCATGGTCCATGCGTCGAGTTAAATATTAGATCGCCATGTATGAATAATGGAAAATATAGTAAGAAATACCCTCACAAATTGGTCAAGGATACTCAAACTGGAGATGATGGTTATCCGACTTACCGACGGAGATCACCAGATGATGGAGGTTATACTGCAATATTAAAAGTTCGTGGTCAAAAAGAAATCGTGGTTGACAACCGTTGGGTTGTACCGTATTGTCTAGTGCAATCTAGGTGCTTTAATGTGCATATAACGTAGAATACTGTCATTCGGTTAAAGCGATAAAATACATATGTAAAAATATTAATAAAGGATCAGATAGAGCTACTTTTTCTGTTAATCGTGAAAACGATGAGATTACAAATTATTTGAATGGTCGATACATATGAACTTCTGAAGCGTTTTGGAGAATTTTCAATTTTGAAATCCATGATGGAGATGACAGTTCAGCACTTGGCTGTTCATCTAGAAAATGAACAGCGTGTTTTCTTTAATGCTAATAATCTTCATCAAGTTATTGAAAATCCAAAAAAAACGGTACTAACTGTATTTTTTTAACTGTGTTCATATGATGATTTTGCGAAAACACTGTTCTATCATGAAGTTCCTTCTTATTATACCTGGGATGATAACAGAGGCTGGTTAAAGAGAAGACGGGGAAAAGATGTTCCAGGTTGGCCAGGAATAAAAATTGACACTGCCATTGGTAGAATTTACACGATTCACCCAAATCAAAGTGAGTGCTTCCATTTAAGATTGTTACTAAATTATGTACAAGGTTCTACTTAATTTGAAAGCTTGAAAGCCTTTGATGGAGTAATTCACGCGACTTTTAAAGCTATCTGTTTTGCTCTTGGGATTTTAGAAAATGA